ACACAGCCACACAGGAAACATTTGAAGAATTCACTTTTTTGTTATTGCTATAAATGCGATTTTATTATTTTAACCTAATACTTAATGGACATTACCTATTTAATCGACATTTAAATAATAAAAATAATAATTCAACAATATTTATCCCTACACTGCATACAAGGGCATATATGCATTATAACATTAGATGGTTATGCACCTAATGTATGTTCAATTAAAGCCACGGACATAGATAAGTATAATATAATAGATAGGCAACTCCTATGTTATAAAAACGAACCGTATTCGAGCGCTCCCGGTGGTTGTACGACACTACTAAGACGGCGTTACTATCGATAGTTACTGTCGTATCGATATCGATTTTTTTAACTATCGATAGTTTTTTTTTGTTATTATTTATTAATTTATAATTTATAATTCTACTATAAAAAATATAATATTACAATAGTAATAAATAAATAAAATTCATTTACTAATAAGAGATTATTTTATTTAAGTTATATCACATTATTATTATCAATATACATAACTTAGTTAAAAATGTATAATATAAATAATACTTTAAATAACAATTAATAATAATATCATTGATTATACATAATAATATAATAATCAATGGTTAAGTTGGTAAAAAATAAATGTACAATGCATATTATTCAGTAATACAACATTATGTAATTATAATCATAAATATTAAACATTAAGTAGTATCAACTGCACACTTACTAATTGATTTGAATAATTAAAAAAAAAAACAAATACAAATTTTATTAAATAATAATAATAAAAAAAAAATAGATTATACTTGGTTATACTTGCCATGAATAATTTTCTTTTTGGAGTGTTTAGTATACCATTCATGCGCAAGTTTCTTGATAAAATCACTTTCTTCTTTATTAATTGAACGTTTGCCATGCAACACACGGTTCACATTAGTACACCAGAGGTTGATTAACAGCTTAATAATGGATTTGGCAATTTTTATTGTAAACAATTCATCGTGGTTTGAGCAATGTAACATTGTTAAATCATAATTGGCCATGATTTCTTTGAGCAATATCTTTCCTATTTCAGGAGAGTGACATTTAGATGGTAAAACGCCACTTATATACACCATTATATTATGAATGAGTACACGAAACTCGGTCGCAGGGTACTTCAAAGACATAATTTTATTGGCTTTATATTCTCTGGCAGTTATCAATTCATGTTCTCGAGTCACCTGGTTAGAACAAATTTTTTTTAAACATTGATCGCAGTTTTTGAACATTTCTCGGTTTAACTTTTTGGCAATAAAACCAGCAATATATGTGTGGGTTAAATCGGTTAAGTGATTAGTTTGGCCATCTAGATTCCTTTGAAGTTTAACAGGTAAATCAACAGCTAGGTTCACTAGTGTAGGTGGTTTTTGGTTGCTCAAAAAAAAATTCTGGTAAGAGACCAATGTATTTTCAGTGAAATCTTCGCAGTTGGCGCCTGGTGATTGAGACGAGATAAGATTATTTAGTAATAGAGTTTTGTATGCTGATATAAATGAGCTGGAAGAAGGATTTTCACAGCCAAGACTCCGTACAGCACCAAACAAATTTTCAATTGGGTCTTGGTTCAAATGTCTAGGAAGTATTGATTTAATACCCTTTTCTGAAAATAGTTTTGACAATGTTTGAAACCCTGTGAACAAAACAAGTGCAAATGTATTAATATTAGATAATAGATTGTGAGTTGCATTGTATTATAATAAACATACCTTTTATTGTTGTTATCCAATTTCTAACTGTGGGAACATTTACACGTTTGCCATTTGGTGTATAAAAGCACATTGAACTCAAAACTTTCAAGCTATCTGACCATAATTGATGATGTACAGAATTTTTTGTCACAGCAGTGCGATAAATTTTTCCTTCAATAACTTTACTGAAGCAACCATTCATTGAATCAAACAATTTATCAAAGAATAAAAATATTTCTGCTGTATCTACAGCACTGGGTTCAATTATCCTTTTTGCTAAAGTCAAAGAAAAAAATATTCAAAATTATTTAAAATTTTAATATTATAGGTACTAAAAATTAAAACTTACAAGCAAGGAAATTCATAATAGCTGATACTCTTTGACTAAAGACCTGAGTTGCGTAGCGTACTTTCATTTTGTATATTTTTTCAGGAACTACATGATTGTCAGTCAACCTGGGCAACATTTTGGCATCTGGTATAGAACTATCAACACTATATAGTTGTTGTAGATGTTCCCACTTGGCTACTCGTTTAGTACCGTTCATTTCAAAATGTAGATTTTTGTTCAATAAATTGTTTCGAGTACATTTTAGGAGATGAGGAACATCAAATATGTGAATAATTTTTATTCTTTCATCATTTTTCAATGGCACCTCATAAAACTCTTGTCTATGGTCTTGGTCAGCATGGTTTTGAAGATAGTATTTTCTGGTTTCATTATTCAACAATCTTATTGCGCCTTCGTTGCTTTTCCCTTGGTCACATATTGTTGCTACTACCCTAAGACCTGTTTCGTGTACTTTCTGTATAACCTTTAATAACAAATGTACAACATATTAAATACATCAAATTTGTATTACTTAATATTTAACTAACTTCTTTAAGCAGCCTCACTAATTTGTGCTGTTGAGTAGCACCCTGGCAAAATGAAAAAGCCACTGGCTGTTTAAATTTCTTTTTAATTCCTCTAATCATAAAAACTATAGCATGGTCTGCTAGTTCTTGGCTTTTATAATTACCAGAGTTAACAAAACCATCTATTTCATCAGTCGATGCATTGTAATGAAGCCCGCTACTCAATGAGATTTCATCAAAAATTAGAGAACAATACCTAAAAAAAAAAAATGTATTAGTATATTATATTTATACATTACATTGTCTTTGAATACTTGCAACATACCGCTCCGTGGGTTTCAGTTTTTGAACATTCTCTTTTAGAACATGCATCACTAAAGAGGAAACTCCCGGGCCAATATGTAAACTACTAAGAATATTATTTAATGTTCGTTTGCTAGGTAATGTAAATATGATAGAAAGCAATCTATAACATTTTGGACTCTTTTTATAGATTGAAAGACTTAACAACTTCTCTTCTAATGTAAATCTATGGCCCTTTTTCTTCTTTTGAGTTTCTCGAAGTTGCAGACGAGTAAACAGCGAGGCAGAAGGGGTAACTTTATCAGCCAGTTTTCTTTTTAAGTAAGTTTCGCTAAATTGTTCAGCTGCGCGTAACCGACTCTTAAATAGTTGTTTCACACCATTAAAGCGACGTTGCTTTTTTAACAACTTATTTGTTACAGAATATAACATCTTACATTTGGGAGTAAGCTGTTTGCAATTTTTAAGACCAATGCTTGCTAATAATCCTATAAGTATAAGATGGTATTAGTCAATACAAAGTGGCTAATATCTCAATAAGTGTTTGGTTATCTAATTGTTTAAATTTCTATTTATGCATGCAATATACAAGTTATATATTTTTATCAAAGCTGGGTATTAACTAGTTAGAAAGTTAAAGTTAAAAAGATACTTTCAAAAAGTATCTTTGAGTTCTATCTAATACCTTAATTTTTATATTATTATTTAATGATTTTTAATTAATTTCTTATAAATTGGTAACCATAAAAATAAATTACAAGGATAGGTAAGTAATGCATTATATAGAAACCTAAAAAAAACACAACATACATGATCATCAAAATAAAAATATTATTAACCTGGATTCTTCTTCACAACTGTATATTTTGGAGAATAGCAAGGTCGAGCAGTTTTAGTGACAGTTCTGGCATTAGCATCAGCATTAGCATAAGGGAAATTGCTACAACTAACTAAAGCATCGCTATCATCTATATAAAGCATTGTTAATACGGCAGTGCACTTAATATTAATAAATATTTTTAACTATATATAAAAAAAAATCAATTATAAAATATAGGAATCATACCTATTAAATCATTGTTGATGAATGAAGTGTCTAATAGATGTATTCCAGATACACAGGAATCATCAAGTTGAGATTGGACAGATCGTTCACAAGAATCTCCTACAATTTCAGAGCCAGAAGACACATTTAACGTTGATGGTGGAGTGTAAATTGGCAGTTCAACATTTAAATCTTAAACAAATTTAATTTAGTTAATTTATTACTTACTACACACTATAAGTTAATAATTATAACGTTAATCGGTAAAAAAAGGCCAAAGAATAAAATAAGAAAAAAAAAGAAAATTTAAAAATACATATATCAATGTTGACAACAATTTATAATTGTATATCAACCACTCATTTATACCCTTTAGTACTATTATCCAGGATTCAGCAATAACATCAAAAACATTAGATATTAGTACATACTTGTCAAATTGATTGAAGGGTAGGCATTAGCATTAAGCCTTTTTGTGCCAGGACTTGAGCAATCACTCGTAAAATGTTTCTCACAAATAAATTTTTTGTTATAGACCGATTCTGGATCCAAGTTCTTCAAGCCTATTATATTCATCCACTGTACCAATCTTTGCATGTCCGTTTTTGGATTCGGAAATCGGTGACAAATAACATCTAATACATAAACCAAATTACTAATTAATAGTAGGTACTAGATACTAGAATAGAAGTACTATATTATCGTTACATACCTTTTGACTTACAATCATTCACAACACATTTCGATGAATTTTTGGGTGGCATAATTGAAAATAATAATAATATTATGTTAATATAAAAATAGTATACGTTAAAAAACGTTAGGTAGTATTCACAATGCTGAGAGTCAAATACTCAAATGCGGAATTGCGGAATGACAGGAAGGAGCCGAGAAAGTCAGTTATAACTTATAACTTTAAACTTATCTCTTAATCTCTTATGGAATATATGGACTAAACGCTGATTGGCCCACGACCATCAGCGCTAACGGTGGTTGTACGATAGAACTATACACGGTACAAAACGCTCCTATAAAGTTGCACCACCCTGGACATACGAATGTCGAATTCGTGCGATTTGGTGTAGACGTTGTCCAGCATAGCTATATAGCTATTACATTCTTAAAACAAACTCAATACAATTTTAAAATTAACTATTTCAACATTTTTTAAATGAGACCTATTAATTTTAATCGAAGCATAAATAAATTACAACACGACAACGAAGTATTTTAATTTTCTATTTACAGTTTGTTGCTTTAGAATGTTTAATGCTCAACACTTGACAGTTATATCAACGTTCCATTAAGATTTCATTTAACAACAAACCCGATTAAACCGAGTTTCTAGTATGTGACATCAGAGTTAGGAGTTAATTTAACTATCCCATTTCTATGTGCACTGAACATAAAATACCTGTAATTTCAATGATAATATAGGTTGATGCAATAAAATCTTTGTTAATATACGTTCCATAAAACAATTATTGATATGAGGATGTGAATTTTATTAAATGCACACTTTGATAAGTAACATTGTAGATTTAACAAAATGTTTTATCAACATATTGTATAAAAACATAAACCGATTAAAATGGAACTTTGTTAGTTTAACTAAGATCTTTATTAATTCTAATATAAATTTGATATATTTTATATACTTTGATTATTGAATTAACAAAGTACTATTTATTTTAACAAACCCAAGTTATTGGACCAAAACTTTTACTAATAAATTTAACAAAAATATATTTATTTCAGTAAAACCAAATTGTTGAATTAATTAAATATTTATGGTTTTGAAAATATTATTTGTTTAATTTAAATATTATATTATAATGAATATTGCATTGAATAGAATACCTAATACAAATTATAATATATATGATTTGCATAATTTAATTACAGTTCAAATATATATTATAATCTATTTATAATGTATATAATATATTATTACATTTAACAAATATGAACGATATACTTACCAACTATTTCACTTTGAGTTAAATAATAAATTAAACAAACAGTAATGAACAATATTATTACAAACTTTTTATTTAAAAACATTGCATACATTATAATATAGTATACAGATAACAAGTTATATTTATAAATTATTACTAAATAATATGTTAACAAGTAAAATAGATTTAAACTTTAAAAAAATGTTATGTATCATATCTTATTACACATATTTAAAATAAAAAAAACAATATAAATTGCTTAAAAATAGGTTTAAACTTTTAAAAAATGTTATGTATCATATCTTATAAGACATATTTTAAATAAAAAAAACAATATAAATTGCTTCAAAATAGATTTAAACTTTTAAAAAATGTTATGTATTAAAACTTATAATACTTATTTAAAATAAAAAAATAATATAAATATAAGAACAGTTTAGGTACAATATAAGACCTACATAAGTATATAAATATTAATAAAAAAAATTGATGAGTAGGAAATTAAAAAAATAATACAAAAAACATAGGTATTGCTTATAAAATACTAATGTTTTAATTCTGCAGTTACTTGTTTCAATAAACTAGAAGTCTTATCATATTTAGTATGTAAATTATAAAAGAATGTTTGGATGAATAGCCATACATCAATTGATTCCATGGGATATTCAATATTAAACACGTGGTATATTTTAAAGCAGATATCAAACGCTTTTGATGAAGAAAATACAACATATTTAATACTATCAAAATAAACCAATATTTGTTTGGGGTCATTTAGCGAGCCAATTACCAAGATGCAAGGTGGAATAGCCCCCTTTTGCCCCAATTTTACAATTACCGCTTCCATTTCTGCTGATGTATCGCATATTTTAATAAATGTGTTCTGTGAATCTTTAATGCTGTATTTGGTGATTGATTTTTTGCCATTATCATCTATAGTGACTTTTCTCGATGTTGGAATAAAAATACTATGTAGTAAGTACATTATTATTAGGGTTTTTGAATCTGAAAATTAAATTACAAAATATATAATATGTTATAAATTATAATATAATATATAGAACAGGGGTGGCCAAACTTTTTTTGATTAAGATCTACTGAGGGTATATTTTTTTCTTTTAGGATCAACTAATGTAAAAAATTATTTAATATTAATTATAAACATACATATATAAATAATAAAATTAAAGTGTTAGGTTATCTAAAATGAGTGTTTCACATTAAATTTCTAAATAATTTTAAAATTTATTAAAATTTTACTATTGATGTAGAAGTGTGTCGTTGCATATCATGGCAAGCGAAGACGCTGTGCTAAAGTCTAAACCTAACCTACTCAGCTTTTATAACTTTCATGTGAGAAAATGCCATTTCACACTAACAGGTTAATTCGAAATATATCTATTTAATAATTGAATCTACTAAATGACAAATGTATAAGAATAATTAATAAATTCTAACAAGAGGGATCGACTTGGAAATCGTCCAAGATCGACCAGTCAATCGCGATCGACCATTTGGCCACCCCTGACATAGAAGGTCAACAATGTGAAAAGTAAAGGATAATACAATAATATCAAATGTACTATTTAATCAAATACAACTATTACAACTGATAAAGTATAAACAATTGTTATAATACTATAAGAAAAACTTACTATCTGATATATTTGTAGTATTTTTTAAGGTCTCCAATAATTTTTTGCTTCCACCATCTTTCACTTTAAGATTTAAAATCGAAATCAATTTGGATGATGAGTTTTCAAATGTCATTCCAAAATTGCTACAATTAGTTTGAATATGATGGAAATCAATATCTATCTATAATGTGTACAAATAATAATTCATTATTATAAATAAAATTACATTTTTTTTTTCATAATAGCTTTTATTTAATAAAAATTATTGTAACGGATATTTGCTAGTATTTTATAAGTTTGTATTTAAAAACTTACTAGTTTATAGCCCATTGGTTTAGTGTAATGCTGACATTTATTGAATATTTCTGTTGGATTATTATTTTTAAGGAAATGAAGTCTAAAATTTATAGTTTTTTTCCAAATGTCTTCGATTTCTGGCCAAGTCATATCTTTATCTGATAAATAAGAACTATACTGTTCTGAGTCAGGTTCAATTTCTAAATGAATAAAACAAATGTTGTGCATTATTAATATAGATATTAAACCAAAATTATGGTAGCATTTTTAATTGATTTTTAAGCCTCTTATTAAATAAATAATTATCCTTGAGCCATTTATATTGTATATAGATATGGAATAATACATATAATAATAGTATAAACGCATACAGGTAATTATAATAGTATAATATATATATATATATATACATATATGTGTGTGTTTGTGTTTTACTATTTATAATATTGTATTTTATTAACAAAGTACACTGAATATTTAAATAAAAATTAATTATGTGTTTGATTAAAATAGGTATTAAAAATTACCAAAAGAGCTGTTCAGGACATCCATGGTACGGGATACATTTGTTTTTAATTGACTTGGCTCTTTATGAATAACTGGTATTAATCCATTTTGTTTCATAGTACGTACTGTGTTGAAATATTTACTGTACAATTTACCTTTGGGACTTTTGTTTATTGAGTCCTTCATAAAATAAACATCCTATATGAATCAAATAAGAATTAATATAACAAATTTTTTTTTTTTTTTGTTTTTTTATTGTATATATACAATCTGTAAATTAGTTTTACAATAAGAATATGAGCTAAAATAAGTAAGAAGACATGATTTGCTTGATAAAAGAAGTAACCCAGCGGCTACACTTTTCATTGATTTATTTATGTTAGATATATATGTATATTATATATATAGTAAAATGGGGTGACTCCGGACAGATTTGAACCTTTTTTCAAAAATTAACCTCAATATATTGTTTCTAAAATTATGAAAAAAATATGCAATATTCTTTAGGTATGTTGAAATCATATAGCAGAAGAATAATCATAAAAGTCTTTAAAGTTCACACTTTTTTTAAAAGTTGAACACTGTCCGGAGTCACCCGCAAAATGGGGTGACTTCGGACACGTATTAAATTTCATTAAAAACCGATGTAAGAATTACAATGGTTGACTTCGGACAGTATAGATATTTTTAAAAAAAACGTAACGAATTAAACAAAAAAAAAAACATAACTTTATCATAAATACTACGTATTTTATTCAATATTTTGAAAAACTTCACAAAAAAAAATTTTTTACTTTTATAAAAATATCAACAAATGTTATATTAGGTAGGTATGTAAATTATAAATTTATTTTATTTTTTTAATGAAAATTAGTTGTATCAATATTGTCAAAAATAAAACGTCCTCGTTTCATTATTTTAGTGGGCACTAATTTTCGTACTACTTGCAGTTTTGTGATATTACTCTTATCTTTGACTTGTGGAAAAACGAAATATGACCCTTCTAGTGCACTTGTTTTTTGTCTCAAAAAATTCACGTATATCAATGGAGATTTTTCCATTTCCACTTGTCCAATATACATAATATTTCGTTTATTTGTTTCATATTTAACAATAATAAAATCACCCTTTTTTAGCACAATATTTGGATCAATGCAATCTTCTTCGTTAATTATTTTTGAGAAATCGTTGCCTTGTGTCCCACTGGTAGAAGGTGCATAAATATCAATTGAATTTTCTTCCCGAACGCTGTCGGGGTCATCTAGGTCATCAATATCATGTAGTTCGTCTTTTTTTTTAATATCATCTATTCTTACACTTTTTCCTGCAGATACATTGATTTTTTTTCCTCTACATTTTTTTACTGTACCTTTTTTATTTCTTACATCGGACAAAATATCAACAAATTTATCAGTCCATGACCTTGACGATAAATCATCATCGTTATTTTCAGATCGACTCGGAACTTTATTTAAAACTTTTTGCTTATTGAACGGGTAGATACCTGTTGCACTAAATCCTGACTTAATATTGTTTTGCATAGTTTCACTTAATGATTCTAAAGTATTTCGAAGTAGTTTGGGAAATTCGGATTTAGGTATTGTTCCTGAGTTTTTGACTTTCCAAGTATCTAAAGTATTTCGCCAACATCTTTTAATCGGTCTAAAAACAGCGACGTCGAGTGGTTGACACAAGTGTGTTGCATTTGGGGGAAGTAATACAAAATGAATGTTATTTTTTTCACAAAGTTGAATTACTTCTAATGATAAATGACTCGCTAAATTATCACCAATTATAACCTTAGGTCCGTCCAAATTACGACAAGCCGGTAAAAAACATGTTACAAACCAATCCTCAAATATGGGCATATCAAACCACCCACTATCGTTCCGATTATAGCCTGCTCCTTCTACACCACCTTCAATCCACGTTGGATAAATATGTTTAGCCTTATAAA